TCTGCCAAACCAAACTACCCTGCTTGGTTAAGAACAAGGAATGAACCATATTCATTTACATTTCTCTTTACACCCGTGTTTTGAGCACTTTAGTGGATGTGCTGGTGCAGTGTGTCACGGCACAGCGAGGGCCAGCGGCAGTGGGGGGATGCCCAGGGCAGGGCAGAGGCAGGGCCAGGGCAATAGAAAACAGAAATAGTCCACTGTGACACCAGGGGCTTCCTGGCAGTGTGAGTCACTGTCTGTTCCCCAAAGCCTCTTCTGAGTTTTCCCTGGGATTATGTACTTTTGCCAGTAAATTCTGATGTGGCAGAGAGCTATGGCATGTACTGACCTCTGGCTTCAAGTCCTGGCCTCCAAGAGCAATTGAACTGGACATGTTCTGCCCATCAAACCTCTGCTCCAAGACTGTTCTGTGGTCTAGCTCAGGGCAATCTAATTTAAGCAATATATGTATTTGGAAACCATTGGGACTGCTAATTATCTTTCTGGAATAATATGAAATTTCAGACTGATGAGATATGAGGTCAGGCCCACTGCTAATGTAGGCACACACAAAAACATACCATTTTCACTTTGCAGAGAAGGGAACTACTTTGTCTAGCTTGTTTCTTTGACCTTCATGAAGCATTAAAAAACCCACCAGAAGGGACCTTTTTCATAATTTGAAAGATTTTAATTTGCCGTTTTTGAGGATATGTAAAGTTGTTTTATCTTAGTTGAAGATGGGTTTATAATATTACTTCTTGCTCCATGACACTATCAACATAGAACCCAAGAGTATATAAAAGATCTTAATAATATTTACTTCCAATGTTTTGGAAATAAAAAATATCAGAAAGCTAAGAGAAAATAGTAAAAGTAAGGTGGCAACATAGACTGGTTTCTTCTAAAGATGGCAAAGTTGGTGATTCATACTGTATGGAAAAGTATATACAGTTTTGTATAGTAGAAGGAGTTTTTGTTCTTGATGTTCAAGTTTGGAACAAGCATTTGCTTTGAAGAACATTTTTGAAGGAAAATTAGAGACTGATGATTAATCTGTGTTTACCAAGAACTTGTCAGACATCCTGGTTTACTCTTGCACTCAGTCACATTCCTACACATCCAGTTATCACACAGCTTTTACTGCCTGCTTAGGAGCAGCGAATTGAGCCTACCTCCAAAACCTTCTTGGTGAATGTCCAAACTTCTGGGACTTTCCCTAATGTTTTTCTTCACTTTCTTGCTCTATCTGATTTGAAATAAAAATTTTATAAAAGGCATCCTATATCTTGAATAATCTAATGAGTAAAAATTCCATCAAAACAAACATTGATGTTTAATCAGAAAATTTTGTAATCCAAAGGATATTATGGGACATAGTACCTGATACACATCCTGTAGTCTCCAGAAGGTCCCTTACAATCCTAACTTTAGTTTCTGGCTCTTTTTTCCCTCTTCAGTAAGAACTGAAGCTTTGGGCCAAGATTCTTTGGTCAGAACCAAGCTTTCCTATCCTATGCTCTGTCTTGCTGGCTGTTAGCTCCAGTGCCAATGCATTTTGTGCCTGTGTACATCCACATCTGCAGCCAAGCTCTCATGTGCTGCAGTATGTGCACCATTCCTCAAGCATGATGGGATCTTTCCCAGGAGAGCTGTATAGCTGTAAAATGTTTTGAATGCTCTACTTTTTTCCATAAATTAGGTTGTAACATCAGTACTTTTTGTGCCCCTCACACTGAACAAATTCCTTGTTATGATGTAGCAGGGATATTAACAGCCTGGTGCACGAGCAGAGGAGCAGGCTAAAGCCAAGAAAGGAGGGAGGATGTGAAAAAAATTAGAGCTGGAACCAAGTGTGAGTGCCATCAGTTCAGTCACTGGGAGGATTAGGCCTAAGACTGCAGTGTTAAACACATTAGCTTTGAACACCTCAGTAGCCCTACTGAATTCATTGAGGGTTTTTACTGTGATTAAACAGCTGGGTTGAGTCCTGGCCTAGGAGCCTCAGTGCCTGTTATTTGTCTAGGACACACTGAACATTTAGTTAACACTCTGGAACTTCATATCATTAACATGGTTATTGTCATTTCTGTAGTTCATTGATCTGCAGGGGGGATTTCCTCCCAGGTCTGTCCCACAGCTTCCAGTGGCCATGAATCTTTGTTCCTAATATTTTTATTTTGTTGCATTTAAACACTAAAGAAATGGGCAAAACTATCAAAAACAACCCTTTAGTGTTTAGGCTTATTTTAATATTAAAGCTTTTTTTTTCCCCCAGTCCTTTCAACATTGTATGTGTTCACTTGGTGCATTTTAGCAAATTACTTTGCCAATCCCAGTTCTACACATCTCCCCTGCACACACCATTAGTGAATGCAGTTCCAGGAGGGGATTGTGCCAAGAGGACAGTACCCTTAAGAAGATGCTGATAGGAAGAACTTAGCCATCAAACAAAAATAGCATTAAAAAAATCCCAAGTAGACTTGAAAATCTCTGTCTGGGAGAGTGGGAAAATTCAAATTCTTCCCAGTAAATGATTCACTAACTGTAACAAAATACGGTGGCCAGTATAAAAAAAGGATTTTGGATCTGCCTACTCTTGGGTATATTTTAGGTGCTGTTTTGCAGGGGGTGGCAGAGTGTCTGTGTAACTGATGCTTTCTACAACTCCATTTCTATCTTTGGGAAGTTGGAACTAGCATTTTGGAAATCAGCATATCAAAATGCTGCTTCTGTCCCCTCGAATACCTCCTTGAATGCAGGAGGTCAGTACCACAAGGCACCGTGTTGGCACTGCACTGTGTGTAGCGCGGTGGTGAGTGGGGTGGCGTGGATGTGACACTATCACAGGGGTGATGTGGATGTGACACTCTCACGGGGGCTGTCACGGGTGCTGCGTGCGGTGCTTGTGACACTTGGTGGCTGGAGCACATCGCGTGCTGTGGGGATTGGCACTGGCACACGCTCTGCCTGTGACGTGATGGGCTATAACAGAGAAGGTATTTCCCAGTGCCTACAAGAGGAAATCCATGCTCAAGCACCGTTGTCAAGCCCAGCGCAGAAGCCGCTGTGCTGGTGAATATTTGTGTAATGAATTGTGTGCAGATTGTGTCCCTGTCCTTCCCCATGGAGGAGGACCCAGCCAAGCTGAAGACACTGCTGTGTAAGTACTGACCCACCACTGTGGCAGGAAATCTGGGTCAGGCAGAGCCTCTCCAGTGATCCAGTGAGTGGAGTGAAGCTGAGGGGTGGGAAGGGAGCATCTCCAGTTCAGACAAGGAGTTTTGGACCAAGCCTGGGTGCCCAAAGAGAAAAAGTCTCATGGCCATGGCAGATGCTGTGCCTCATGAAAACCTGCACCACACTAAACGTTAGATCATGCCTGAAATGAAAGATAAGTATTCAAAAGCAGGCACAGCAGAATTCCTGGAGAAATGGCTCAGCCATTCAGGAGGACACATTGCAGATAAGTTACCTGTGTAATCTAAAATTCATAAGAACATTCAAGAACAAAATTCATATTATGGTGTAAATTGTTTTACTCAAAGTACTATCTAGTATATAAGGTAAGCATGGTTTTGTGATAAAATTCTTTTATCCTGTTTTGCCCCCCCCCCTTTTTTTTTTACCAAAAAAACCAACATTTCTATATTCTATTAATTTTTCTGTTTCGGTAAAAATTTTTTATTACTTTGTCTGGTAGGCTTTCTTAAATTTATTCATTTTGCTTTGTTTTCTGCTATGAATCTGAACATTTGCTTAATCTATTATCAATAATGCTAAATATGCTTCAAGCTGAATACAAAAACTACTGAGATCCAAGGAAGGTTCTATAGGGGATTCTAGGAAAACCAGGCCCCACTTCTAGGGACTTAGTGTATGCTCATGCTTGGCATTCTAAGACTAGTGAATGAAAGGCATATGCATTATTAAATGTATTCAAATACCATTAATAATAAAGATTCATTTCCTTCGTGAACCTCAAATTCTGCCAAAGTATTGCTCTACATGTTCATTTTCATGACAAGAGCAGATATGTACCTGGACAGCCCCTGTGAATGTATCATGTGTATTTACTTACACACAAATCCTTAACTCTTAGGAAATAAATGTGGGGACACTCAAGACATCACTTCAAATTTGAAAAGTGTTGAGAGGAAGTTTCCTGAGCTGCAGGTATTCGGTGATATCCAAAACCAATGAGCCCTTTCAGAAGAGTTTACTATTAGTGATTTCTTTTCCAGTCTAAAGCCTCTGAAGACACATTTTAAGTTGTGAACTCCCTATTGAACTCAAATGAAGTGACATTCTCAGCTTCAGAGGGGCTGTGACATGTACTTACAGCTAAACATATGTTACTTCCCCTTTTGGATCAGGATCACACTCTCCAGTATTCCACACCCATGAAAACATGGAGTTTCTTAACTCTTGGTGCCTTCCAGTTAAGGAAATATCACAGAGTAAGACAGGTTAATTCATATAATTCACATGGAATTCATTAAATCATTTTTAAAAAAAATTAATGGTTATATTTAGCTTAATACTCAGAACTGTTAACACCCTGCTTTTAATGTGAGAGACTGAATTTGGAAAGAAATATAAAACACAGGTTTCAGTGTGTAGAATTTTTTATTTCCACAACTTAAGGATATTGTTAAGATCCATGTGCCTTTTTAAGATCTATTCTATCATTCAAATTCTAACCAGTGCTAGATAGCCAAAACCATTTATCTTTATTAGATTTTAGTGCTCTGGAGAAGTTAAAACAGGGATCTTCTATTACCCTTTTTTGTTTTTCTTCAAGAAGTAGTTAGAAGTAAAGACTAACTATGTTTCTGTTGTTGGCATTGAGATATTTGTTCATAAAATTAGAGTGTTTCAAATAAGAGTAAGCTAACTTTGCAAAGAAAAAACATATTTAATCTATGACCAAGACAGTTATTTGTATGTTTTTTCCCTCTTTCCCCCATTCCCTCCCCCTCTTCTTTTCTTCCTCCATCCACCTCCCCCAATAGGTGACGTGTATGCAGTGGTTGCAAGGGGACCATACAATGCTGGACATGATTGAGAAAAAGCGTTGCCTCTGCAAAGAGATCAAAGCTCGACAGAAATCAGAGAAAGGACTCTGCAAACAGGACAGCATGCCTATTTTGCCGAGTTGGAAAAAGAATGCTGGGACCAAGAAATACAGCCCTCCTCCTTATTCCAAACAACAAACTGTTTTTTGGGACACTGCGATTTGACAGGCCTGTGGAGCATGTCCTCCCCACCGTGTGGCACCAAGGACAGGTAGCCATCCTTCTTCAAAAGGCAAAGGCTCTAACCTCAGACTTACCTACATGTGGTGAACTTCCTAGGAAAAAACCCACTGGTACTGTGCTTTCCTGTAATCAAGAGAGAGATTTAAGTTTCTGACTGGATTAAGGCATACATAGTTATCCAGGATTTTTTTGGATCCAGAAGATATCAAAATGTAAATATTTCACCAATATATTGAAAACACTCAAACGAATACACTGTTTAAATATATAAATATATATATATATATATATAAAAATTAAAAAATTTATGGAGAATTTTACTATATAATATTACTGTTATACTGTTTTATTACCTATTTTCTATGTTCTATTCTACTGTTCACCCCCACTCCCACCACCACCATTTTATTTCTCTGACCTGCCTAGATGTGGCCTCTGTACAAAAGCATGTGGTTGTACGTGTTGTTGGAGAGGACAAGGTACAAAACAGCTCAGTGCTAGGGCTGTAGAAGATAACTAGAGTCGTACTTGTTAGACGTCCTTAGCTTGGGGGTGGGATGGACAAAGGAGAGACTTCTGGTGGGAAACAGCAAACCTGCAAGCACTGAAAATGCAAGTGCTCAGTGCAGATGCCCAAGTTGCATTTAATGTATTAATTGTTCTGCATCTGTTTTCCCATAATGGTAACCAGATAAATTGTCCTTGGTTTTATATGAACCTGTTACTAAAATGATTTGGCCAAGGAACTAAATTTTCTGCAGCAAAGCCTGCGACAGAATCTCTCCCTTGAAGACGTTCCTTTGACTAGCAGAGACCATGGTTCACTGTGACTAAGCATTGTGCAGCCCTTGGCGGAGAGAGCCGGTCGCTCAGCGGGTTGAGGCAGTGCCACTGCAGCCGCCGTCCCTGTCCACATTTACCGACGGTCCAGAAAACAAAGGCTACAAAATGTTTACATGTTTATTATTTTTAAACCCTGCAGCACATCCTTACCTATGCTGTGTCAGATTTCCTCGTGTTGTTTCTCTGGGCTGGATTTCAGAGCCCTTGAAAGGCTGTTGGGAAATCCCTCTTGATTTCGTGCGGTTTTGAAGCAGAAGCCCATGTAACGTGTTCTCCTGGCTATGCTGTTTCTTCTTCCTGGCTGCTTCTGGAATTGGCTTGCAATCCTGTATTATATTACACCCATTTTAACAGAATATTATGTCATGACCAAAGAATTATGACCTCCTGGTTTTAACGGGAGAAAGAGATGGCTTATGCTGATTATGAGGGTGAAATCTGTGCGGTGAAGTATCTTCCAAAAGGATCTGTTGAGGACGAGGGAAACTTGTACTGCGGTGGAGTAGGGGGGAAAAAAGATCTATGGCATATATTTTGTATATTAAAATTTCTATCTATGTGTCTAAAGTTTGGTAGTACAAAATTCCCTCTTTAAAACAATCATTTTAACGTTATATTCGCCAAGAAGAAAAGGTGTGTTGTTTGAAACTTCTTGTTATATTGGCTTTTCTTTAAAATTGTATTGACAGCATTGCCACAGCTGCAATTGCTGATCAAAAAAGACCAAAAATAACAAATTTTAGAAGGTTTTTGTAATCTATATTGCTAAAGTTTGAGTTTCAGTAATGTTTTATCAGTAGTAGTTTCTTTTCAGCCTCTGAAATAAAGTTTTTAAATATTTTATAACTAATTAACTAATGTATATTTTGATGTCCAAACTGAGATTTCTGTAAAAGATGAAGTGTGTGTTTATATGTGTGTATGTATATTAGCATTATCGTATATGTATATATGCATATGTGTACACACATATACATGTATATATGCATGTATCTATATATACCCATAGATGTGTGCATACGTATATCCACATACGTTAAATATTGGTGTGTTATGAATATACAAAGGCTGGAATAGGTACAGAGTTGAAATGCAGATTTGAAGACCCCCTCACAGCCAAAATGACAGAAGACATGAAAAAACCCAGAAGCTGTGAGGGAATCTTTGAACATGTTACATCCAAAAGACACCAACTGTTTATTCTGCTTATTCTCTTTTTTTCAAAGAAAGAAAATGGCAGAAGAAAAACTCCAGAGATCTCACAAAGTTCCAGAATCTGCTAGAAAGAAGACAACTTGTTGGTCATGAAAAATCTGTTGAGATAACAGATTCATAATTCAGCAAGTGTTCATGCTTTTTCTTCCTTGTAATGTGGCAAGAGAAGAATTTTTCATATCCATGTGTGAAATACTTAGCTCAGCCCTTTCCCCCAACTGCACAAAGTCACTGGTGACAAAATGCAAGCCGGCTTTCACTCAGCTCTGCCAGTCCTTGTCCTCACTGGTTTCCTCCTGGAGCAGCTCCTTTAAAGCCGGGCTGCCAGAGCGGCACTGGCAGCGCAGACCCTGGGCACGCCTGCTGGGGGAAGGCTGTGTCAGTGCTTGGTAGTGTTTGTTCATATCGTGTCCTTTCCATATCAAGATGTAATCAGAATAATGATCAGGGAATTGAAGCATTCTTGTCCTAAGCTCACTTGCTTGTACACTTAGCCTACTGCAAACTCCTTGTTTTGCTCTTATTGCTCAACACTGTTTATGTTGTCCTTCCTAAATAACTGCCCACGTGCTTCCAGACCTCCATTGTATCCCATGGAAACAATGGCTTTTTGTTTTAAAGTGCGGCAACATGAAAAAGTAAAATATAACTTAGCACTTACCTTCAAAGCACTTTAGAAATGTGAAGTGAACCTCATGCTTGCGAGAGCCGTTTTACTGCGGAGGGACGTGAGGCTCAGACGGAGTAGTTTCCAAAGGTCAGGGACAGAGGCAGAGCAGGACCCAGGCTCTGCCCTCTCCCGTGGCTGCTGGCCCACCCCATGGCTCGAGTAAAAGGCACATCGTCCTGCCGAGAGCTGCCACCACAATGCTGTCAAACGTTTCCTACTTCACCTCTTGTCTCAGCAGCTTCTGTGTCACAGGGTGAATGACAGTGCTTAGTTACACACGGTCATTAAAGCTGTAGTTTGTATAAATATGCAATCTGTATATACATACAGATCACATATATACACACACTTATGGAGACTGTATATATGAAATTGTTTGGTATGCACTTATTTTGCTTTAAACTCCTGAAGTTAAACATTATAGTGTAGCAATTTGTGTAAGGTGCACTGTGATTTCAAGAAAGCACAGTAAAGTCACAGGTCTTGTTATTCTTGCACTAAAAATGTGTTTACGTATATTAGCCAACGTATGTCTACTTTATCTCTCCTTTTGACAAATTAAAGCAGATGGTATAAAATAGTATGGGGTTTTTTTGGTTTGGGTTCTTTATTTTTAAGTGGACAATGGCACTATGTTTTTAAATGACAGGGTTTTTAAATAAAATGAAATCATTCTGTGTTCATTCCAATGTACTACATTTACCAATATCTTGAAACTGAATGTCATGTTGCTTTTTTTTTATATATCATTAGAAATTGTCAGGTATGTGCCTGAGATTGTGTAGGACTAAGGAGTAGCTAGAGGCTAACTGTAATCATATATTATTAGCCGTTTCTATATACACAGTATAAATACATATTAATTTTCTTTTCATTTTTGTACGTGATTTTTTTAGGTAAGATGTAATTAAATGTACTTTGATACTTCTGAAGTAATAAGATGTTGTTTGAAGATCAATTCTGCTTTCTTTAGTGCATTGACAATATTTTACAATAATTTAGTGCTTATTTATTTGTGCTCCGGTGTAATTATAATAAAAAGCAATAGTTTAAATATTTGGCTGTTCATTTTCATTTGATAGTTTAAGTTTAGAGACAGGTTATTCGCTAGGGATTAGCCAGAGATTCCCGGGAAGAAAAGTCAAGTCATAGATGTATATTTATAGCATTCCCTAGGCACATTTTTAATCTTACCATTTGTTGGAGGAAATTAATTAATTGCTTTAATAGGTTAGTATTTGCAAGTCATGCCTCATTGCATCTAATGCCATGAGTGCCATCCTCAACTAAATCCTTAGAATAAGATTTCTCTGAAGAGCAGATAAATTTTTGTCTAAGCACCTTTCACAGTTTGGGATGGCAGATGCTCACTTCAAAGACACCCCCTTCAAAGATCTGCATTTGCAGAATATCTCCAAATGGGAGAGGGATCTATCATACTCTCCATAAAGCTCTAAAAAATCTTCTCAAAAGTAAGTATAATCTTCCTGTTTCCAGACAAAAGCTTTAGTCCCATTAGGATGTAAAACTCAGCCCTTGAGAGGAATTCCACAACTTTTTAAGAAGACGTCCTCCCTAATATTTTTAGGAAGGCATTTTTTAATTTAAAAAGGTTTCCAAGGACAAGTAAGCAAGTAGTTAATAAAGAACCCAGTAAGAAACAGTTATGCTCTAGCTGTGGCACTGAGACCGTATTTCTCTCCTTTCATGAAAAAAAGCTGCCTCTAATATGCAAAAAAGGTCTTATACTTGTCTGTACAGATCTGCATGCAGAAGTGCACAGGGGGAGGAAGCTTTTGCTTGTCTTCAGCAGGAGCTGCTTCTGGGACAGGTTGCAAATGATCCAGAAGGGGCTTTCCAAATGCTTCTCTGTACCAAGGGCCACCTGCTTTCCCCAAGGCACAACCTCTCTCCTCAGCAGCAATCCCATTGACAGGACCCATACATAGGATGAAGAACTTTGCTACCTCTTCATGCTCCTCTTCCTCTCCCTAATCCCTGACACAATGTTCAGAGAGACTCATGCTCTGAATCAAAGTCTAGTCTTTTTCTCACAGGCTCTATGTTTTGCATGAAGACCCCATAAGGATGACTAGAAATTAACACTGTTTTACAAGGATTTCTCCAGGCCTAAAGGAGGAAAAGAGATTTTGTCAGTTTGTCAGATTCATGTCTGAGCTCTTCAGTGATACAGTTCACAAAGTCCTGTGTCCTAGCTTGTATCTAAGGGCTTGCCATGGTGACTTCCCACATT